GCATGGGCTCCTCACCCAGCACGTCTGGGATCCCCGAGAGCAGGACGGTCCTGGGGCAGCGGGAGGGCTGGAGCTGGGCAGACGGGGGTGAGCGCGGCCAGGGACGGGTCCCCGCGGGGCAGGGGGTGCGCTGTGCTGCTCAGGGCTGCAGGAGACCCTGCCGTGCTGGCCAGCCCCGCACTGCCCTTACCTGCAGGTTAGCGATGTCTCCACTCATGCATGGTGATATTTTGAGCTCGTATTTTCCTTTCCCAATAAGCACCTGGATGTGTCCTCTCTGAGTCAGCAGCTCTGCCACTGCAGGCGGAGAGGGAAGCCCTGAGCCGCCCAGGCCCTTGCTGAGCTCCAGGAGACGTTACGTCCCTGGTAGAGGCACCGGGGCTGGCACGGCCCAGCCCAGCTCACCTGCACCAGCACAGTCTCTGTGAGCCTGAGCTCACTCTGCCATGCCTGTTCCCCACAGATCCCCTCCATCTGCTCTTGGGAGATGACCTGTGCCCCCCTAGAGCCAGCTGGGCTGCTCCCCTTGCCGGCAGCCGGAGCTCAGCAGGCCCCACAAACCTCCATCCTGTGCGAAAGTCAGCTGCACTTGGCCAGTGTCGTCCAGGAACTTCCGGCTCTCCACCTCGGCACCCCCATTCTTCGTCTTGCTGAAGAAGAGCTCCAGTTTGTCCAGCAGTGCCTCCTCGGGGATGCCCAGGCTGGGCAGGTCAGACACGAGGATGCTCCTGCTGTTCCGAGTCAGCCTGACCTGAGGGTGGCACGGAGTGGTCAGGGCCAGGGCAGGGCCGGCCCCAGAGCCTGGGGGAGCACCGAGCTGGGCTGGTACCCGTGACCAGGCTGTGGCGAGCTTGGGGAGCAGTGGAGCAGGGCACAGCAAAGCTGGTGCATGCCCAGGGCAGCTCTGCAGTTCTCCGTGGCGTGGGGAGCAGCAGGCCCTCGGGACCTACCTCCAGGGAAGACGGCAGCAGCACATCCACCGGCGCTGCCTGCACCCGCACTCTGCACTGGTCAAGGTCCTCCAGCTCCTCCCCGTAGCTCAGCTCCACCACGTGCTCCTTCATCTCGATGATCCTCTGGGCCACTGCAAGCAGGGAGAGCCCCCAGCCCCGGGGATCTGAGTGCACCGTGGGACAAGTCGTGGGGCAGCTTTGGGGAGGGGCACAACCCCACACAGTGCGGGCAGGGGAAGCAGAGCGCTGAGCCCTGGCCCAGGGAGGGGATGCAGGGCCAGGACACCTGGCGATGGCAGTGCCCTCCTCGCTCTTACCCTCTGCCTTCTCAAAGGTGATGAGAGCTGAGCCCCCCGGCAGCGGGTAGTGGACCAGCGGGGTGAGGATCAGCTTGTTCATGTCCTCCTTTTTTGTCACAAGTCCCTTAAACACCATTTTCCTCTCTGGCAAGGTGGGCAGCATCTAGGCTCGAGTACACAGACAGCACCTGGAGGAGACTGGACCCCACACGGGGCCTGTACCTGCCAATCCAGACTGGAAACATGCTCATGGCTCACAACAAACAACTGGAGAGCCTCAGCAGAGTCTCTGCTAGGAGCTGGCTGCGCCTGGAGCCCCAAAGCCACAACTGGAGCTTCTGGCTGTGGCAGAGGAGCCACCGCTAGCAGGAGCCGTGCAGGTCACACTGTGCCCAGCCACCTG